ACACTTCTAACCAGTGCCTCGTGATGCCAACACTCTTTGTAAATCCCTTGTTATTCTTCTCCACATTCTTCTGCCCCCGTGGCTCCCACACAGCCCGGCACAGTGCAAAAGGCTGGTGTGAAGAGGTGGAAGGAGAAAGAGGGAACTTGAAAAGTTCTGAGGAGCCTGAAAAATGTGAAGGAGAAGCCTCCAATATCTGTGTGTGTCTGTGAGCATCTGCTTGCTGTCTAATGGCTTCAGCTGTGGAGCAGGAGCAACCCTTGGGATGCTGTGCTTGCAGGGTGTTTTTCTCAGTACTCCCTTGCTGGCTCTATTCTCCACAATTAGCTCTATCTGTCTCTATTTCCAGCAGAGCAAAACTTCAAGATTTTGGATGGTCTTGCCTGCTGATATTCATATTCTTCTCATGACTGCTGGCTTTATGTGGACCACAGTTCATCTCTGCAGGGATACAGCTTTAACTGGCTCTTGGTCTTAAACCTTCCTTTAATGCACTGTTTGTAGTTGATCTGTTTACAGCTGCTTCATTGCAGACCTTGCCAGTATGTTTTTCAAAAGAAGATACTAGTTTGACAAAATAAATGGAATCATTAAAAATACTAGTGCAAACACAAGCCTTCATGAAATAAGGGAGATGCTGCAGTTGAGCAAGAAAAAGAGAAGAAAAAATTCGGCATTTAAAAGGTAGATATAGGAGGCCCTTCCAGCCTAGTTATTCTCTAACTGCAAAATCAGGCTTTGCTACAATGGCTGCCTTGAGCATCAGGAACATAACTCCAGGTTTTAATGTGGACAAATGATGTCCAAGTATTGAGAGTTGGACTCAGTTATCCTTAGGGGTCCCTTCCAACTCTGTGAGTCTATGATTGAATAGGAAAGAGTCTGTGTAAATGCTTGAAGGTATTCTTAAAAATGCCTCTCTCCGAAAAACAGGTACTCCTGGGGTCAATAGGAGTCCTGGGGAAGAACAGTGCATCCTCAGCTCTGCACACAGCTTCTCAGGTCCCTTCTCTTCCAACAATCTGGTGTAAAAGCAGGCTCTTTCCTCCTGATTTCTGTACACCTGCTCCTATTTGGCCTGAACACCTGTGGAAGGCAAAGCCCTTCACTTTATTTCCATGTGGCTCCACCTATTGTTGGTACAAAAAGTTACAATCAAGTTTCATGTGATGCCATTTCAGATGCAGTAACTGACATGCAAGGTCAAGGTCCTGTGCCTGCGCCAAGGTAAATAAATGTTGTGGACTTGCTCAGTTCAAGGGAGTTGTATTTTCTGGTCAAAAACTGTTTGGATACATATGTATGTACCTCCTCTGTGACCTGCTGTTCTTACACTTGTTTTCAGACATCAAGGATGCCCCTTGGTAGCTCATCTGCAGATGGGCATCCAGTAGGTCAGCACAGGAGAGGTCTAACCAAAACCTCACGTTTTCACAAAAATACAGCATCAGTTTGAATGGTCAGAGCCACATACAGATATACAGTCAGGTCTGATTTCCTCAGTTTTGCTGATATGGGCATAAATGTGGGGGATCTTTAAATATTTTTTTAATATGTATACATACATATATTTTCAGCTCATCCTGCAGTTGCCTTTGCTATGGAAAGCTCACACTATGACGTTTGCTTGGGTAAGATTTTTGCAAGATGAAAAATGATCATCTGAAAGTGTTTATTCAGTGATCAGTAAGTAGTTATATCTGGGACTGATGCAATGTAGCTCCAGTTTTCCAACAGTAAACTCCACGCAGCCTTATATAATTTGGGAGGGAAAATCATCTCTCTGGTTTTCTTATATTTCAGTAAACCATGCATCTGTGTCCAAGAACTTTTCAGCTCATTAATTCAGCCGCAATATAAAATATATACAAAATTAGGGTATCGTTTTCAAAAACAGACACCTAAAATGAAGTTTCTAGATCCATATTTAGACCCATGAATCTGATTTTCCAAGCTACTAACCACCCGCCAGACTGCGCAGGACACTGATGGGAGCTCAGCACTTCTGAAGGTGGCTCCACTCAATGACAGCATCCAACTTTCTGACAGCCTTCTGGCAGAGACAGTTTTCACAAGCTTCATAAAACACAAAAGGCCAAAACAACATGTCCTGCAATTATCCACACTGAAAAACAATCTTAATTAATAATGATATCATCGCTACTCCCTCTATCCTTAAAGTGCCGCTGAGTTTTGCCTTTCCTTCATTCCTCTCCCTTCTCTCTAATACTTAATCCTGTACTTCAAGTTTTTATCATACCATCGACTTGATTTCAGTGCTGTTTGTTGTGTGCTGTGTAAGGTTTTACTCTTTCTTATCATTGGGATTACTCACCTTCCTATATGCTCAGCAATTACAGCCTCAGAGGACACACATTGTCCCACAATGGTTTTGAGTCTGTACAAAGCTGATCCCAGTGACACAGCAAAGATTTAGATAAGGTTTAAAAAAAACTAACAAGAAAATTGAGATCAGATTTCTGCCTTTATCCAAATAAGCACATTAAGGGAAAAAACTGAATAAAAGTATTAAATGCTAAACTCACATAAGTTTAGAACATTAATTTGCTGAAGTTAGCCAGTTATTCATTCTTCTTTCCATAAAAATGCCACCTCTGTGTAAGACTGATCCTCTTTGTATTTAAGGTGTATACTTTGACCAAAAGTCGTTGGGGCCAACTGGAGTCAGAAGTTTGATCACTAAAGCCAATTTTTTTTCCCATTGGATTTGTGAAGGAGGATGTCAAATTTTGACATCTCAGCAAGGTGAAAATTTGAAGGAAAGGCCAGTTTGGCCTTTCCCAGAACTAAGACCCTACTGAAAACACAGCAGGACCTCCCTGATGTAATCTATACATTTGGATGCCCCTATTTTGGCTCAGCTAGAGAGATTCCCTAGTCAATTCAGACTGCTCAAGCTTAAAATACAGAACCCTTCTGTACTTGAAGGGGGCCTATATGAAAGATGGAGACAAAATTTTTAGCAGGCCCTGTTATAATAGGACAAGGGGTAATGACTTTAGATTAAAAGAGGGTGAATTTAGACTACATATAAGGAAGAAGTTTTTTAAAAACTTCACTTATGTCGATGATGAAACACTGGCACAGGTTGCCCTGAGAGGTGGTGGATGTCCTGACCCTGGTCAGGTTGGACGGGGCTCTGAGCAACCTGGTCTAGTTGAAGATGCTCCTGCTCGTTGCAGGGGGTTGGCCTAGATGACATTTAAAGGTCCTTTCCAACCCAAACCATTCTGAGTCTTACTAGACAAATACAAATGGGAGAAGGGACCCACACAAAATCAATGCTAAACATGAGCAAATACCCAGTGTGTCAAGTTTTGGCAGAAGCAGGTGGAGCTGTGCATTTTCAACAGCTGGAAATGAAGCTTCAAGTAGAGTCGAGCAGCACGATTAACACACAGTTCTGTCATTCCACTGTGCAGCAGTCGCCAGCCAGACAGAAAACAAATTTCCATTTTCAAAGCAGTTCAAGTCAGAACTTTTGTTTTTCCTACTTGTAACTCCCTTCTGTTGTACACGCCATCACCAACACTTTGCACCACTTCCATTTTTCAGCAGTAAATCTGAATGCTTGAATTCTAATTTTACATGGCACGTTGAACCACCTTTCAGAAACTCCCCAAAATTGTACAAGGTGTCCAAGCTGCTAATTCAGGCACTTGGGTTCAACGCTGCAAATGCTCGCCAGCCTCACCTCTGCACCTCTGAGAAACAGTCCCTCCTGATACTCCTCAATATTCTCACTCTGAGGACTCTGACAAGCAGCAAATCTACAGAATCCCACACCGCTCCAGTATGACACCTTTCCCAGTCACTGGTATGTTTTGACCAGGATTTACAGTCTAAATTAAAACAGGATTTACTCCGCAAGCTCCTGCAGATTAGTTATGTTCCGAAAACTCTGACCTGTGGGAATTAGAAAAGGTAACATTACTTAAAAATAAAATATCACAAGGCTGAATAATTTTTTCAGTGACATACTCAGGTCTCAAAAGAGCATTAAATATAATTTCTAGACCGGCCTAAAGAGCAAACCATGGTGCATGACAGAGTGGTTCTCCTGCAGCTCATCTCTGAGTTTAAACACAGATATCTTGAAACAACTTAGTGCTATTTACTCACTGGTTTAAAAAAAAAAAAAAAAAGTTTAAGCCAGTTGACAGTAAGTCCTGTCTTGATGGGAATCCCTCAGTTAAAATCATCTAAAGCCCAGGGACTGGCATTCTATCTCAATCCAGCCCTTATGTCACCTGTGCCACCTTGTAACTCTGTTCTTTTATTTTCCCAGCATCCCTGATTAATTCCGAATGTGGCAATGAGGGATCCTAGAGCACATCAAAGGAAAATATGGTGCACCTAAAGCAAAGTCCTGCCCTCAGATACTGACCAGGCCAGCACCACTTTGGCTTCTGAAACCCAAGGCCATGGCCGCCTACAACACCAAGTTTTTGGGTTTTATTTCAACACTACAAAGCGTTGTTCAGAATATGGGATCAACCATCATTTTAACCTACAGAAAAAATGATGGTGGGGTTTCTCCACCAGAGTAGTTTTGCAACACTTTTGCTGTAGTCTAAACATATTAAAAAAACCCTATATTAAAAAACCTGCTTAGATTTCATTTAAAAATGTCAATTTGTACAGTGCTGTGAAAAGTCACATGGACAGTTTTGCATAACAAAATGCAATTACAATTTCTTTCCATACAGAACTGGAGAAGACAGTACAAATGCAGGCCTGAGCACCTTTTCACTCTAGATACCTTACTGGCAGCATGATCATTAGCACTGCAGAACTCCTGCTGTAGTAAACAGCCCTGTCCCTCTCTTCCAGAGAAGCTGTGCTCATCAATGCCTCAGAAGCAATCTTTTTGAGTGAAAAAGAGTGCAATGTGGATAGGAAGATCCTTTGACTACTAACGAAGTGAAATACTGACACCAACCTTAATGCAACACAGAAGAACAGCAACTTGCAAAAAAAAATTGTTGAATGTTTTAATGCATTTTGAATTGTAATGAAGAAAAACATTTTACATCTAAAAACAAATTAGCAGAATAATAAAAAGTGGTTCCACATAACTTATAAATTCTTTTCCCCAAAAGGTAGTTTTCACAGATTTAGGCAACAAATAAGACGTTTCATTCCAGATCTTTCTGACTCTATATTATACACAAACTTTGTGAAAACTGATGTGCATTGCTTGAGAGAAAGACACAGAAGCTTGGTTTTGCCCAGTGATGAGTTTTCTGTGAAATTCTGCACAATACTGAAACTGTAACTGCAACTCTCCTCCATTTTATGAAATGCTAGACATTGTTCAGTGCTGAAAAACACTCTTTAGAACATTAAAAGCCATGAAATGCTTTCCACACATTAAGTCAATGTTGTATTATTCACCATGGCTCACATGTTTTGCTTCAAGGGGAATGGCAGTTCTGCTTACCCTTCAGTACAGCATATAAAATTAAGCTACGTGATAGTTAAGTGTTCAGCTGATTTAAGTATTAGCCTGCTCATAAGAACGTGGCTCTAGCACCTTGTTTGCTTGATTTTTTCAAAATGAAACAATGTAATAACCCATTCCTGGTACCAGAGGACGGTCCCTCTGGTGATATAAAAAGTTTGCAGCAATGATGATTAAACTGCATAGAGTCCAGTGGTCCTGTATTACATATGTATTAGAGAAGCTTAAACAGACACTTTAGTTTAGCAGGACCAAAACCAGTGAGCCTCTCCCCCACCTCAGGTAATAAAGGACAGCCATTGCTCAAGATACTACATGCAGGCCACGCTGGAGAAACTGCTTTAACTGGCCAGACATTTTTCTCTCTATTTTTAAACAGCATAAACCTTTGTAAAATTCTTCCTGTCACCAACTAAAAGAAAATGAGTCTTGTCTTCTTAAGGAATAAAACCTGTAACTCAACATTAAACGGCTTTACCCCAGAGTTAAAAACCCAGGAAAAAAAAAAAAAGTGAAAATAAACTTTGACACCATCATTTAACTTTTATCAGCAGAAGACTTAAAACTCTGCAGCTGCTTTGTGCAACCTCACTGGTTTTGGTATTTAAGATTACTTCAGCACAGCTGTGTATGTATCTTGTATCTCAAAAAAAACCAAAAAACCAAACTCCACAAAAGAAAAAAACAAGGGGTCAAACTACTATGATGACCTGTACTATACAGATACTGCATATATATCCTCCATTAAATATTTTGAGCTTCCTTAATGCTACACTCCAAAACTATGTCTAGGACCCCTGCTTTCCTACAGTTCCTCACTGATGCATTCATCATCCAATCCCATTGCACTCCCATGCCATATATATGTTAGTTAACAGAACCAGCTAACACATCTGTCTTCATGTCATTATAAACAGTGCTGTAGAGGACATGAGCACAGCTGCAGTTTCACAAAATCATAATGATGAGATAAAACGCTCCTAATACTTCTGCCAACCCACCATAAACCCCATGATTCCCACTGTAAGAGTGTACCCTTGGCTTACCCTCACCCTTCATATTATACTGTGATATGTCAGACAGTTATAGGGGCAGCATCTCCCTTTAGCCAAAAATAGGTGTCTGTCTGAAGCAGCCTTTCTGTTCTTTTGAAGACATCAGCTGCCACCTGCATTTACTTACATCATAAGCAGCTGCAATGTAACACCCCACTGCCAGTGCAAAAAACAGCCAAGTACAGTGAGGAGCAAAACCAGAGGAAGATCATGTGGGAGAAAGAAGGGAGACCTGTGTTAATTATCCCCTTCTGGAACAGGACAGGGACTGCAGCAGCCCTTGTGTCCGAGAACAGAAAGGTAACAGATGATGTTTACTGACTGTATTGCTCCACTAGCTTTAAGTGTTAATTACCTTAAGGATCACATGTAGCATGATTGTCTTTCCTCTCGTGTCAGAGATAGTACTTCAGGCAGAGACCAAAAGTGCTTTTTTCTAGGCTACAGAGAGATTCGACACATCTTGACCAACATTCATTTTTGAGGTAGTACTCATTTGCTTTGTATTGCTGGCTCAAAATAAAAATATGGGAAGTGAACACAATTAAAAATATGCTCACTGTAGGTACATAAACAAAAACACCACCCCCCAAAAAAACTATTTCCTTTCTGGGCAGATCACCAAAAAGAAGTAATCCTTCTTACAAAGGTCCGCTCACATTCACTGGTAAAGTCAAACTTTCATAAACGGTTTATAACAACAGCTATAAACTAAAGTGCTTCAGAATTTGTTTGACCAGATTTCAGTGATTAGATTTATAATATTCTGGATTTTTGCTAGTATGAAATGCAATGAGGTTTTAGAATCACTTTATATAAGAAGGGCAGAACAAATATTTTTCTTTTTTCAAAAGAAAAAGTACAAAAAGCATTACAAATAAACCTGGCAGTCTATATTCACTACAAGTTGCTTGCATTTTCCTTCTCAAATCTACTATTTCTCCAGTAACTGGAATAAAAATGGAGCTGAAGTTGCACTATAACGCAGCACTAAAAAAAGTATTCCAAATCAGATGCAAACAGGAAAATGTTTACAATCATACAACTAGTGAAATTCACACTTCATTTCAAAGTTTTAGCCCTGCAGATTCTTTTTAACACAAGGCAGATATGTAGAGTCATGGAAAAACATAACAGACTGCTATACACTCTCTACAGTAATTACATAAGTTTCACATTTATGTCACAAATGTAATGCCCTACTGTGTAACTATTGAATGCTAAATAACTTATGGACATTTATGTGCTCTATGCAACAGTGAACATATTGACCAGTGGATGCCAAAATATAAAAGTTCATACACAAGACAAACTAATCTTTAAAAAAATCACATCTTCTGTACAACTCATGCAAACTGTGCACAATGTGGTAACAAGAACAACATTTGCTCAAGCCTCCCCTTATGGCAGAGCTTTTACAGCGGGAGCAGACCAGTGTTCAGAGCAGTCTGCCAAAGTGTAGAAGTCCATGGCGACACAAACGCAGAAACTCCTTCAGGATTTCATTTCTCCTGTAGCAAAGCAGGGATGTTGATGTTCCACCCGATAGCCTGACGATCAAACCCACACGTGAAGAGGTTACATATGGGATGGTCCTCACACCAGGCGGAGCAGCACACCATCCTCCTGTGCCCCTGCGACAGCCGGGAGACAGCAGTGTTACCAACACGGCACTGGGAAACCTCTGTGTCAGCAAGGCAAACTTGCCAGTGCTCATCCTAGTTTTTACAAACAGTTATTGAGAATCCTAAAAGTCACTGTTACCTTCATCTGCAAGGTAAGTCTTTAGTAGTAGTATAGTATGGCCAGTCTTCGCGGACGAAGATTTGGGAAAGGTCATTAACCCTTCAAGCCTGTGCAGTGGATTTTTTAGGTGAGACCCAGTGTGCACTGAACTGAGCCCACCCTTTAATACTAAGGTTCATCTACCGGGGCCGAGCAAGCTTGGACAGTGGCAGTGAGGTCCTCAGGATGTAGGTTTGTTTAGAGTGACCTTCTCTTAGATGGATTGCCTTACAGGGCTGACGAGCTCCATCTGCCCAGGGGAGTTTCCCTGACCGGGATCCGAACCTGGGTCGCAGCGGTGAGAGTGTGGCATCCTAACCACTAGACCACCAGGGGTCCCCAAGGTAAGTCTTTACAGTGATGAGATCCAGCACTGGATCAATAAGGACAGAGGCACAGAAACAGGTGCATCTAAACTTTTGAGATTTCCAAGGTGTGTTTGCTATCTTTTATTTGCAAAAGCAAATCGAATTTTGATTTCAGAATTTTTATTTATAAAAGCAATCTTAAAATATGGAACTACTTGCTGGCAAATACATTGTTACAAGCCTGCAAGAATAAGTGTCCATCATGTTCATAATTCAGAAGGGATAATACTACAGCAGGAGGAATATCACACTGACAAGTTCAAGTCCAATAGTAACAAGTGTCCAAAATAGGATTCTGACCAACATTTAAGTTAAAAAATTAAATAAATAGATATATAGATAGACAGACAGATGAACAGATAAATTGGCCATGGTTTCAGTAGTGTCAGTCTGAATGGAACTACTAAGAAAAAAAAAAAAGACATGCACATACACACAAAAAAAAACCCTCAAGACTACAACGAACTAAAAAAAAACCCCAAATTAGAAAAATCCTAAAATAGACTAAATAAGTCTTAAAACTCCTTCCTAAATTCTGTCAAGAACTGCTGAATCAATCCAAAAAACACCCACTGAAGTGGCATAAACAATTCATTTCACTTAGTCTAATTTGCTCTATTAGTGATGCTTGCCATGCTAAATAGCACCACAAATGCACAAAGCTTGATGGGCCCAGCAAGGCTTTTTTATTATGTAGTACTAAATATCAAGAATGTACACGCACAAGCATGGAAGAAAAAAAAAATTAAAATTTATCACCAAATCGTAAAAGGTGAGCTCACAAAACTGACCCCCACTTTTTCCTTCTGTTTCTGCATCATGGAATCATAGAATGGTTTGGGTTGGAAGGGACCTTACAGATCAAGTTTCAACCCATCTACCATGGGCAGGGACACTTTCCACCAGACGAGCTTGCTCAAAGCCTCATCCAACCTGGCATGTATATCAAATTAAACTGCGTAATTAAAAAACCCCAAAACACAAATACAAGAAAACCACTGTTATATCTCATAGTGAGCCACTTTCCTGACACAATTCACATCAAGGCATTGAAACTCCTCTGAAAGGCTCTTACACACTTCTTCCATTTCACTTTAGTAAGGAGAAAAAATTATGAAAGGCACTCGAAACATTATTTGCAATTCCAATAAAAAAAGTTCAAAATGTTTCATATTTGCATGTTGGTTCTTTTCAGTAACCAACGACAGCGCGTTTATGTAGACAAGTGTTGTTCATCATTTGTTCAGCTTTTAAGCTGGAGAGCCCAAATCCTGCTTTTAACCTTGTGTGAAATAAGAGCAGACATACTTGAGGGCTATAAATACCCAGTTACCTGTCTGTTACTGCGAGGGAGCCGAGCTAATCGCACTCCTGACATGTCGAACAATCTGACCTGTCGGTTGTCATGTGGAAGGGCGATGATTCTTTGGCCAACACATACGTTAATCCTGCACAGAAGAGACAAAAGTAGGTTACGCGCAAAACAACGAGCCTGCCAAATAGAACTTGACAGCACAAATTTAAGCTCACGGGAACGGACGCAGCTGAATTTTTCCTGATCAGAATTCACAAATGGAAAGAGGAAAAAGTATTGAACCATTAAGGTATTTTCTATTGTACCAGATCCTCAAACAGCCTTAACATTTGCATCCCGTATACAAAAACCTCAGAAAAACAATGCTATGTATTTACTGAAAATTAATGCTGACTACACAAGCATTTTATAAAACCATTTCAGACCTTTCTCAAATTCTTACAAATCTCAACTCCAATTTTAGGGACTAAAATTAAATGTATATTCAGTGAATTAACAGAATAGACTATTTCAGTTGGAAGGTACCTGCAGCAATCATCTATTCCAACTGCCTGATCAATTTAGGCCTGACCAACGTTTAAAGCATGTTATTAAGGATATTGCCCAAATGCCTCTTCAAGACTGGTAGGCTTGGGGCATCGACCATCTCTCTAGGAAGTCTGTTCCAGGACTTGACCACCCTCTTAGTAAAAAAATGTCCAGTCTAAACCTTTGTGTCTCAGCTCTGAACCACTCCCACAGGTGAAAGAAATTATGAATTAATTAAGAAGACATGAATGAAGAAAGACAGTAACTCAGAGATCTGCTTACCTGTTGACTGCAGAATCTGTACGGATTGTTGCAATAGGAGATCTCATGTTTTTCAAATCCCAGACTTTTACTGTACGGTCATCACTACCAGAAACAACATTGTCTCCCACAGTGAAAACTGCAGATGTCACAGTGCTAAACAATCAGAAGTAAAGAGAAAGACATTAAGCTCTAAAGTTTTTTATTAAACTAACATCTGATTTAGAAATTGTAGTTTCTGTTCCTGTGTTTCCTTTAACATATGTCTTTTTTATTTTATTTTTTTAAAATAATCTGACTGGCCCAATTGCTAAGAGAAGCAGCCCGACACTAGAGACTCACTCTGTAGGCATCTTTCATATTCCACTGATCCTGATATAAGCTAAACATGTCCAGTCTTGAAACCTGAGTTCACTTTTGAAGTTCTGCACTAATGTCCAGTAGTTATCAGACAACACAAACTGAATTTGTAGCATAGAGTACAATTCTTCCTCTTAAGTGCCTTGAGACTAGTAGTCAAGCTCTTTTCTTTCCATCCAAAGACTTCTGTAGAACTACCCCAGGCATTTGTCACTCCCTGCACAGACACCGAGGAGGTCCCAATACCTACCTGAGGTGTAGCTAAAGCTATTTTGTACACACACATAAACATGCTGTAATCCACACACAGAGCCTCCAGTTTAACTCCACTGCCAATAGCTACAGCAATCTAACAATTTCTAATTGTGATTTCTATTCCTGTTTTACAAGCAGGTAAGTCTGAGAGTTGGATGAAAAAATGGCAAAAAGTAGTAAGAAGGACGATCATACAGTTCTTTCAAACTGTACCCATTATGTCTATAAATGCACAAGGGCAGTCACAGAAAGACTTATGAGAATATTTGTAGCAACTGAAAGTGCAAAACACTACTTCCAGAAGAGATTTTATAATTAATTTTATTTTAGAATTTTATTATCTTTGTATTTTATACTTTCAGAAGACAATAAATATACTGCTGGGCTCAAATGAACAGTTTTCATGATTAGTCTATGGTGGGTTTTTTTAATCTTTTACCTTTACTTCATATTAACCAAGTAAAAGCTTTTGTACTACTATTTTCGTTGTAATTGTGTGAATTCCCAATCCATAATCAGTTATTTTCTGCCCACATAATGTACTAACAAAGCATTTCTATCTCTCCCTACAATCATTAGGGAAGGCTTCTCAACTCTGTTTCTACAGATTTGATTTAATGACCTATCTTGTAACTTGGGTCACGCACGTCAATTCTTAGAATTTAGTAATTTTAATTTAAGTTGTCAGTTGTTACTGTCACTTTTGTTGTTCTGCAGAAATTTGAATTCATGTCCTATCCAAGCTGCTGATTGAGATTAGCACAAGCCAGGTCACAATGGACCAGTTTATGCAAGCCTCTTAATTTAAATTGACACCAAATTAAGTTTTAATTAGGATGAAGGCCCACTTTATTCATGATACCAAGTTTCCTAATGCATTATTAGAGTGCAGCAAAGCTACCAGGGAGATGATTACAATAAGAACCAAGAGGTCTTTGACTAATCTTCTGTACTTTATGAACCAAAAGTCAAGAAGTTAAAACATACATGAAGGCTACAACTACTAAATCTCTTTCATAAGGCACCTTTGCACTTAGGAAGAAAACTCCATGCAGTTTGAGCTGCTGCACAACACAGTTGGCATTTCTTAGCACCAACCTTGTCTTCTACCAGCCCAACCTCCTTTAAACTTACCAATATCTGCATTTATCTTCTCACTATTTCTTTACCCAAGCTGCAAAATACCTCAGAAAAATATTTCAAGCTTTCCCTTAACTCTACACTGCTGCAACACATTTGAAACACTGTTCTTAAGGTTAAAATTCTCTTCTCAATCTCCATAATTTGCACACACATTGGGAGACTTCCTTGTACACAACAGCATAAGGAATTCAAGTCATACAAAATTCTCCAGATGAGTGAATATACTGTGCTTTAGTATTGTGCTGCCAACAAACAAATCTGATCTGTTTTCCCATCATACATTTCATTTCAATTACAGCTGGAATACATTGTGAAACTGTCTTAAAATAACCCTCCGATTTTGGGTGCTTTCTTTTTCAAAACTTTAAACAGCTTTCCAGCTTCTTTGATCTCATAGTGGTTCTCCTTTATCACTTATCACTTTCAAACATGGTTTCTTTGACTACATAAAGTTCTCTAATCCTTAGGTTTATAATTTTTAAAATTAAAATACTCAGAACCATTGCCAGGAGAACAGAATGTCAGCCCTAGGTTGAAGCTCAACCCTTCCTGATCCGGTAAAATGAAGACTCCTAAAAGATAACAAAATCCTTTTCTGTACTGTTTTCAGCTTAACCATTCAGATATTACTGCATACACAAAGAAAAAGTTTGTAAAATAAAAATGCAATTAAGTTCTGCTGTAGCTCTCTGGCAACAGGGAAAGTGACAGAAAGGGAAAGGGAAGGTTGCTCTGTTTTCACCGACAACTTTAAAGGTGTTAAGTGGTCTTAGCCCTCTGTCCACCCTCAGTTTGTCCCTGTAAGGCACTGCAGGATGGGATGTGCACTATTTGCAAGCACACGTGACTATGGAAACAGCCTTTTACATACGGAGCTTTGCACTTTTTACTGAACCCACTGTTTATGATGAGGGATTTTGGTCCCAGTTCCAAAGCAAACAGTATATGGATGTCTACATAACACTTCCCAGACACTGTGCTTTTAACAAAATGAAACAAGACTCTTCTAGGAGAACCTGTAGATACACTTGATTCAATTCTCAAATATATCTCATTTTCAAAATAAGATTGCAAGACTTGAAGTTTTATGTAACTTAACAAAAAGTCAAGAGAGGCAAAAGCAGTATCATTCTCACAAACCTGACAACTCTGGGGAGGGTTATCAGCACTTCATTGTCATCTGAGTAAAGACCAAGTGGTTTTTTGGCTGATTTGTTTTGGTTTTTTTTTTAAATAAAGTGAAACATATTGAGTTCATATTTAAAAAACCATATACATGTAAATTCAAAAATATGCACAACACTACTGACTTAAAAAACATGAGCAATTGCTGAGCTCATAGATCTTACACAGTACAGACCATGTTTTGTGTCCTCTGCTATTCCAAACTGAGGTATCTATTAATGTGAGATAGATGCATCTCATCAATTTTTTTCTTATTTTTGTGTTTGTTTGTTTTAATTAAAACAAAATAGCAACAAGAAGAAAAGCACTTTCTATTTATAAACTAAAACAGGACTTCAGCCCAGATAAAGGGGGAAGTTGAGAAGAAAGGGAAGCAAAGTCTGTGTGGGAAGAAAGAAGTTCACAGAGCTGCCAATACACAGATAACCTTTCAAAAGTATTGCCTCTCTAACTTCATCCATATCACAAAAATTAAAAGCCTTCTCCCTATATTTTCATATGGCTACATTTTATTTCTGTTTGTATTAGTCTTCAGATAAAACTCTGGTTAACATCCCCTTGGCTAAATTAATAAAAAGTGTCAACAAAAGATCATCAGACCCCATGTTAATTGAATGCTAGAAGACATTAGGTTTTTAATAACTCAAAAAGATGACAGGTATTGTAGGACATTAAAAAAAAAACAGGCAAAGAGGAAGCAGTCTTATGACACTTCAAACTGTGCGTCCCACAGGGAGTTTGGTGTGCTACAACCATTCTCCAAAAAAGCCTCAGCCTCCGCCAAACCCCAGCAAAACTCATTTATCTTGTCATAGGGAGCAGCCGAGCGTGTACTTCCAGCTGACAGCGTGGCACTTCCTCACCACACACCGCTGCCTGGCCTCGCACATCCTGCTCCCTCCGTGGGTCTCAATCACCAGAAATACCGTGGTGCTCGCACTCCTCATTAGGCCGAACAGCTGTCTCCCCAGTCACACTGAGACACAAAACTGTTTTGCATAACAATCTGCTGAAATTTTACACATAGGGGAAGGGGGAAAAGAAACAAACATTGGAAATGTTGGACCATGAAATGCTGATGCAGAACCCTCGCTGGCAATGCACCAAAAAAAAGTTAACACTGCTCTTTCCGTTTTGATTTGCAACCTAAACTGGGATTTGCCACTGAATGCCGGGAGACAACATGTTTTTGCACCCTTGGAAAGGCATCTACATACAGGCATTAATCTGTGTGTGGGATGAAAATGGATAAAACCAGAGTTTTCAGATAAATTTATTCAAGGTACATCAAATTGCGGGTAAACAGCAAACTTTGAGCGCACAAATATGCCTCTCTCGTTTCAAGCAGGAAAATTCAGAAACAAAACCTAAAGGAATCTCTATTTAGGATGAAATTTCCTGCACCAGGGGAACAAAGTGTACCCCCACACTGAGCCATCTGCAGCCTGGGGGGAAGCCAGGACCTGTGTTTAAAACCTCCAGATATGGACAACAGGCTGCCCATCTCACAAGGAGATGGCAGTGAACAAAGGAGTCCCACGTAAGGAGAACACCAGTACCTCCACATTTGAGTGCATTCAGGTTCCAGAAGTGCTAAAAGCACTTGATTCCAGAAGGAGCTACACATATAATTGCCAAAGTCTGCCTATGGATTTATATCCAAATACCAGCAAAGCCTTTTTCTCCAACTTGAGAAACAGTAAGAATGAACCATGAAGGAATTACAGAATCACAGAATCAATTAGGCTGAAAAAGTCCTCTGAGATCAGAGACCAACCTCTGAACAAACACCACCATGTCAACTAGACCATGGCACTGAGTGCCACGTCCAGTCTTTCCTTACACACCTCCAGGGATGGTAACTCCACAACCTCCCTGGGCAGCCCATTCCAATATCTAATCATATTTTCTGTGAAGAATTTCTTCCTAATGTCCAACCTAAACTTTCCCTGGTACAGCTTAAGACTATGCCTTCTTGTCCTGTTGCTGGTTGCCTGGGAGAAGAGGCCAAGCTTCACCTGGCTACAACCTCCTTTGAGGTAGTTGTAGGGAGTAATAATGTCCCCCCGAGCCTCCTCTTCTCCAGGAATTAACACAGAAGGGAAAGGGAGGGAATTCAGAGATGACTCAAGAGTCATTTTTTTTAGCATTTAAATCAACAATGTGTATTCCAGAGATGTGTTTCATGACATTTACAGAAAATTGCCAGTCTC